ATCCATCCCTCTCCAAGGCTTGGCCATCTTGTTCTCTGCTGGGGACATGCTCCTCTCTCAAGAGCCCCAGTCCACAACCCTCTTGTGCTGGAGACCACTTCAGAGCTGAGCAGAAGCCCTCTGTCCTCTCACAGCACAGGCAGCATCCTGCTCCTCTGGCTACAGACTCTCCAACCACCTGCAGGGGTCCAAAACATGCCCCTAAAAAGTGTTCAGCCTATCGATCTCACAACCCAACAGTTTACAAAAGCATTTCATGGGTTTTGGTTTTTTTTAGTTTTCAACCCACTTCTTAGTTAAAAATTAACTGAAATAGGCTGAACTGCAGGAGATATTTCCCCCACACCCATGGGCCAGCCTGTGGCTGCCAGAGCTGGCTCTGGGCTCAGACAAGTACCCCACTCCTGGTTCAGAGGTCAGGCACACTGGCAGCCAACACTGTTGCTATTTTTACATTGAAAAAACCACAACACAAATAAATGGCTGCTTAAAGAAAACAAAATTACGATTCTATTAAGAAATTATCTTTAATCCACGCTGGACAAGGTTGACACCTTCCCTCCCTTAAGGAGGCTGCAAAATTAAATTAACGTTTGTGAAGTGCTTGGATGTCATAGCAATAAGTATCCCAGAGAAGCCCGTGGGAAATGAATAGTTTGGTCTTGGTGAGCAGGGACACAACAGCACACAGTGGGATAAACAAAATTAGCTAGTGAGCATCTCCCACCCATGCACTGCTCCTGGAAAACACAGCCTGTGACCATGAAGATCACACTGTAGTGCAGATATACCAGAGGCCTGAAGTAAAAACTAAGGCAATTTTGGTCATGGTGTTTCCTGACTTCCAAGAAATCAGGAAGTTTACACAGAAGCACTTCAGCTTGACAATGGAGCTTCCCCCCAGCTCTCACCAAAACATCTCTGCCAGTCCACAGTCAGCCTCAGCCCCTCTCCTCCTGAAGGCTCCTCAAAGGCACATGGACAGAGCCAGTTCTCCATGGGGCTGATGGTCCCTTCCCAGGGATCAGCTCTGCTGACCAGTGACTGCTGCAGCCACTACAAGCAGCTCTAACTCTCCCCAGACTGGAAATGCAGGACAGGGCAGAGCAAACAGCAAGAGCTGCTTTCTCCTGTGAGGCCCAACACCAGCAGGTCACCGAGTTCTCTTGTGGCCAGGTGACAGCAAAAGAGAGCTAGGATGCTTGGACAGTCTTTCACACCTGGGACAAACCCTTTCATCAACACCACTGCCATAAAGCATGCTCCTGCATCGTTCCCAGTCCAAGTCTCCATCCCATTTATCCTCTGCTCCTACCTTCTATTCTGGCTTCCCAGCTTTACTTGGTGAGCAGCAGATTTTTATCAGCACACTCACCATGAGCATCACTTCCCTCAAAGTTTCAAAACACTCCCCACCCCTCCCCACAACCAAGGGGCAGAGAACTTCCCAGATAAGGCAGCTGAGGGAACCGTGACATTTTTAAATGACTAAGCAGTGTCCTTCCCCGGCCCTCTTCTCAGAAACAGATGAACAACTTGGGGATGACACTTCCCAAAAGTATTTGGTGAAGAGCTGCAGCCCGCTCTGGTGTGGGGATGAGATTGCACCAGACTGCAGGCAGGATATTAATGGAAAGTATCAGCCAGCTGGCCAAGGGGTTATCAGCTCCTTCCCAAGGGCGCTGCACCAAGGGCAGAGCTGCCCCTGCCAGCGGGAGCTTCCCAAAGTGGTCACACTGTCAACTGACCTCCCAGGGAACAAAGCCCCACAAACCTCATGGGGGGAAGCACACTCACTGTCACTGCCTCTGACCAGCACAGATTGCAGCGGTGCAGGAGCTCGGAGTGGCTGCAATAACTCCCAAGGAAAATGAGAAACCAAACTCCAGGACACTTTCCCCACACTCCAGGGAAGGATCAGAGGTTTTATAGCATGGTGGGAGTAACACAACAAAACCAGGCAGCCTTTCCAGCCAGGTGAGCCACTTTGCTCTAGCAGGAGCCCTCCAGTCGTGGTGTGCCAGGCACACAGTGCCCATGCTGTTGTACAGCACCCAGCACACCTGAGTGCTGCAGCCACAGCACACACGGCTCAGCACGGCTGGTGCCAGACCCACAGCACTCCATCACGTGGTGGAAAGCACTGCTGGCCCCTAGGAAAGGGCAAGAGCAGGTTGCTACCATGGGATGTATTAAACCAGGTTATAAGCTGCTGGTCAAGCCAGGGAAAACCTTACTGGTGGCAAGGGAACTGCTCTGGGGCTGCATGATGATGGTGAGCTGCATGTTGGGCTCTGCTCTGCAGCAGGGATCACTCTCACCAGCTCCCTGGTGACTTTTCATCAGGGACTTACCAGGCTCCAAGCTCAGAAGGCACTGATGGCACTTTAGGAAAGGTGTTCCCCTGGCAGACACCACAACAGGGCAGATCATCCCCTTCACTGTGCTCACAGATAGTCCCCAAACACCAGAAGTAACAAATCACTGGTATCCCAAAGCCTTTGCCAGCTGGCAGTAATGGCTCGAGGGGTCTATTCCTCTCTGAAAACACAGTGGCAGTTCTCCTGTGTTTGAGGGTCATTAAATGCTGCCCACCCATCACCTCTCAGCACTCACAGACTCCTTGCTGGTTACCACACCCCTACAGGCTCCAGTCCAGAGGGACTTTTCACAAATTTCAACAGCAATTAAAATTTGATTGTCCTGGGCTACCCACTTGTCCACCCTGGAGTACAGACAAGTCAGTGCACAGAGGAGCCATGACTTCCCTGTCCCACCCTCCCAGCAAGCTCCTCATACCTGCTGGAGGCAGACACTGGTGTCACAGGAGAAACTCCTCCAATACATGCTGGCTGTTGAGCTGGTGTTCAAGTGTGCAGTTTTCTAAGCCTATACTTGTTACAAGGTGCTACAGCATCTGTGAGTGATGCTAAAGGCACTCCCACGTGTTTGTTTCTGGGCAGGAATACTTTACCAGCTCCTAAGCCAAGACATCTGAGACTTGCACTCATAACTTGGCCCGTGGAAGCCCCAGCAAGCTCACTGTCCCTGGGCTTGCCTGCAGCATGTCCTCAAAGCCAAGACACAGCCCTTCCCAAATGTTTTAAAACAGTGTTTTGCAACCTCTGAAACCATTTGAGAGACATTGGTCAAAGAGCCATTTTATATGTTTCAGCAGTTGGGAGAGAAGCAGTAACACCCTGACAGCAGTAACCACCAAGGTAATGCTCTTACAAATTGCTTTGCTGGATACATGGTTTGGGTTAGCACTGTCTCCTGTCTGGGGCTGTCAAGTCAATGACAGTCAGCTGTAAGTTAAACAATCACTAAAACTTAATATCAATTCTGCAAACTGAAGCTTGAATGCTTCCCCAGTTGGGCTTTTTTGTTGTGGGCTTTTTTCCCCTCCAAGGCTCACTGGGAGGAGATGGGAGGGTGAGGAGAGCTGGGGACTGTTAGAAGAAGGAGAGGACAGGTATTGTTTCCAGAGGGAGGTGGGCAGAGAAAGGAAGTAACATCTAGAATGTGAATGGAGATGGGAAAAGCAGATTAGAATTCCAGTTCTGACTCAGTTTTGATCTAACTGATGGAGCAAGGGGAAAGAGAGAGTGGGCAAGAGCAGTCACTACTACAAACCTGAATTAACCCCTGCCCCACCACACACACTTTGGTGGCAGTCCTCAACAAACCTCTAACAGCTGACAAGTAGCAGAAGCCTGTTATTAAGAATCAGCTCCCAGACCTCCCACTCCTCCCACTGATGATGGCTGCAGGACTGGGGGGCTCCCAAAATTGATAACTGTAAATGCCCAGTGCAGACTGGTGCTTCTCTGAGGTCTCACACTGCATTGAAGGAACACCCCGGAGAAGCCAGCAGCACACTGACACTGAGAGAGCCTGCCTGCAGGCCCACAGGCACTGAAGGGAACTGAACAGGGTGCAAGGGCTGCAGGACCTTGCTTTGATCTTCTAGGCTGGACTTCAGGTGCCACCAACACCCTCCTACATGGTCCTGCAGCACTGCCTGGAACAGGAGCCATAAAACAGCGTCTGCTCACCTGCCAACACAGCTCACACAATTTCAGACACATTAAACCTTCTTCTGAAACAAACCTTACAACTCACTGGTTAACTTATTCCCCTTTGGGGATGTACACTTGAACTGAGCTCAGACAACAGCCTGGTCCAAGCTGCCTTTGTTCCCCATATGTAAAGGCCTTCATTACAGGCAGCTGCTACAAACTTTGGGGGTCAAAGGAAGTCTGGAAGGTGAGCACACCTAAACAGGGGAATGATGAGGGCCTTGTGACAAAAAAAAAAAACAACCTACCAGCCAGAGCCTGGGTTGTACATTCCAACTCTGGAAGGCTGATGGACCCATCAGGATCCTGGTCTCCCTACAGTCAGTGCAAAGAGGAACACAAGGACCAGCTGAGCCACGTCCTGCTTTCTCCTTCAACAGGGAAGAGCACAGAGCAGCAGGAAGGAGCAAGGCCCAAAGGCTTTGAAGCACACACCAATATTAGCCAAGGGAAGACAAGTATTTACAAAGAGTATCAGCAATCACATCACCTCACTTTTCAGAACAGAACATGACAAGGAAGGCACATGCAAGAGAGCTGTGCTAATGCAACACTGTGACATAAGATTAAAACTAGGAGGGGAAAAAAAGAATATTTATGAGTCAGTCGTGTGGTGACATTGGCATTTCGATGCTCAGACATTAAAGCACAGCCACAAGCATGGTGCTTGTGCAGCCCTGCACCCTGCCAGCATGGGGAGGTCACGGGCAAGAGCTGCTCCAAACATCACTACTGCACGTTTGCAACTACATCTCTTGGTCTGACAAGAGACTTCATCTCTCCAAACAGACTCTTCATCCTGAGTGCTAAAGTACTGTGAGGAGGAGGAGACAGCAGGAACTACAAGGACACTAGGGCAATCAGTCATTTTCTCTCAAATGATATGGAAATAAAAGTGAAGCAGGAAGAAAGTGGTACCTCTGTCAAAGGTCTTGGTCTTCTCTCTACAACAAATTCTGTGTGGCAGAGCTCACAGTAACTTGTGTTGGAGGAGGATAACCATTTTTCCAGGCAGCTCTTGTGCACGGTGCCCAGTGTTCCTGTGCAGTCACACGGGGAAAGCAGTCCCTCCCCATTTCCACCTTCATGACAGATTCGACAGATGGGACCATCACTGAAGAGGCAGAACAAGAGACAAACAGAATGAAATCATGGTCAGAGCAGGCAGAACGACACAGCTGTAGTGTCTGGTCCCACCAAGCTCCAGAAAGGCACATGCACAGCAAGCAGCATGTGGCAGAGCACACCAGGAGCCTGCTGCAGCAAGAAACCAGTCTCAGGGGAACATGGAGGTGCCCAGGACATTTTAGGTCAGTTAAATCAGGAAGCCCTGTTGATGAACACCACAACACCCAAGAAAGCTGGTACATCAGCCTGGCCAGCTCTGCTGGCACAGAATTCACTGCAGCACACACGTCCCACAGCCTCCAGCTCTGCTCACAGTGGGCAGGGGCTGACACCAGACCCAACACCAAGCCTGAAGCACTGATACAAAACCAGAAGACCACAGCAAAGCCAGATGTCCACAGTAGCCACAGCCACCTGCAGCCACTCCAGAGTCTGGCAATCAGTCACATTTATGAGATCACCTACCCACTCTGCTCTGCACCCTGGGCTGACAGGAACTGGGTAAGGAACAGCACTATCCAAAGACCCAACTACACTGACCCTGGAAGCTCAGCTCTCCAAGGACACAACCTATTTCACAGCAGGCAGCCACTCAAACTAATCTCTCAGCATACAAACCCTCTGCCCATCACAGCACAGGAACTGCCCGGCGTCCCATGGGCACCTCTCCACAGGTCACCAACCATTCAGTGGCTGCAGAAATGCCTTGGTGCTTCAGCAACAACCCTTTCTCACCCCTCCTTGGCCACAAGTTTCAAACAAATATCTTTGATCTGCTCTCTTGGGAACTCAGAGCACCAGAGATGCTTATCAAGGGAAGTAACAAACGCATTCGGAGACACTTTCGACCTTCCCTGCAGGAGGCCTGTGCTGCTCATGGCACTCGAACCACCCATCAGTTCCCAAGGTGTTCCTCACACCTTCAACTGGCACCACTGACTGTGGATGATTAGTGCTACACCTTCCACTACACCAGGTTGCTTAAAAGTCCCAGCCAAGGAGGCCTGGAACACCGACAGGGATGGGGCATCCCAAGGCACAGGTTTCTCAGCAGCCTTGTGCCACCTATGCCAGCCCTGTGATGAAGATGTTTTGGGCTCCCTGGGAAGCCTCAAATGGCTCTAGACACCAAAGTTCTCTGTTCTCAGCAGTTCAGTACAACTCTTTACCCACCACTGATATCATTTAGGAAGAAAATGTTCCCTGGACCGTGGGAACCAGGCACTCATAGTATCTCACTTTCCAACCAGCCATTTCTTTCACACAACTGTTCTCTTACATCTGTATCTGCCCAGATTTGTGGGTGGGAGAGAGGCTGAGAAAGGAACATCTTTATTTCTTGAAATCCAGGTGAACAATATCAGCTATCACCTTTTTCCATGTATAGCTGCCAGAACAAAAGCCACACTGAGCTCATCTCACAGTTCATGCTCCACTATTCTGACTTCAAAAGCCCCCACCCGACTGCAGAAGTTTGTGGGATTGCTACACAACAGTAAGAGCAAGCACTTAGCAATCTTCAAAAGCAGCAGGGCCACTTCCATTAGTTTGCACAGAAAGCAAGAGTGAGACATGGAAGCAGGGTTCAAGGAAAAGGAGCACACTGGGGGAAAAGGTTGGTGGGACATGAAGGAAAGGGAAGAGCCAGCAAGGAAGTGCACATCAGCTCACTAAGGGAAAAGCAAGACTCCTGTCTTGGTGCACCACAGGACATCTCTACCACTTTTAATGTTTAGCAGGTTTCAACCCAGTTGGACCTTTACCTGGAGCTGTGAAGCAATGTACACCCACAGCACCATCCCCTTCTCTGTCAAACATCACTGGTGAACCACCAGCCATGTTCTCTCCTCCTTTTCACATGCCTTTTATTTAGGGCACTTCCTCAGCCAGGACAATCCCTGCAACAGGAGTCTGGGGAGGTGGTGGGAACTCCATCCTTGGAGATCCTGGAAACTGCATCGGAAAAGGCTGAGCATTCTTTCTCTGAAAGGAGCCTGGACCAGACGTCCTACAGAACTGCCTTCCAATTTGAATTATTTGATGATTCTGTAACATTTATTGCCATAAAGTGCTGTACCAGAACCACCAAAGTGCAGCCTGCACACAGAGCCTTAGTGACAAGGGCAGACAACCCCTCCGAGCCTCCAATGCTCTCACGCTCTGTTATTTCCTAAGAAAAGCATCTGTAAGATATTTCATCTGTTCTGTTCCTGTTTGAGAAGTTTCGTATTTCCAGCACATTAATATAACCAATAAACAATCCAGAATGAAAAAATTTGCTGACAGTGGTGTGAAAAAAACCTCTTTATCAGACTTCATTTTCCTTCCTTCCTATCCGGAGGGGGTGGGGCCCCGTCACCCTCCCACACGATGCACTCTCAGACAGTTTTCCAGCAGGCTGTAGAGACCATATCACTAAACCAACATTCCAGTGTAGTCACAGTGTCCCCAGCTTCTCTGTGCTAAGTGCTGGGGACAAGGAAGGGACTGAAACCCACTATCACCAGAAGGAACAAACTGATCTCCACACAGACACATCAGGAATCCTGTTGGGGTCTTTTAACCTGTGTTCCCAGGCAGTTTTCCCACACAAGCATTACACCTCCACAAGTTCTAAGGGTTTAAACAACTTCTTGCACAGCCTGTCTGCTGCCAGAGAGCAAGCCCAGTTCCCCTCACATTTTCACTGGCCTGCTCCAGGTTTGCTGGATGCTGCAGTTATGTTTGCCTCCACTCTCATCCAGCTTCCCTGCAGTCACCACTTTCACACCTTGTCAACGTCAGGCCAAATTAATTGAAAAAAAATAACAGCTGTTCAGACAGGATTTGTGAACATGAATGTGACAGTCCTCACTAGCTGGACTGAACAGTACTGCCAAGTGTCCTCTGCTCTGGAAGCTGCTCAAAATACATGACAAGAAGTCACACCAGGAGGCGTCTGAAACAGTGAAGCTGCCACGTGTTCCCTGTAGCAACAGCTGGACGCTGCAGTTCCTGCAACACAAACACCCTCCCGTCCCTGGGGTTGTACAACAACACCACACCTTCACTCTGTGGACTTTCCTGGAGCAGGGGCTGTGCTCCACTTCCAGCCTTTCAGTCTTCTCCATGAACAACCACACTGCCCTGCGAGCACGGCACCACCTTCACTGCTGCTCTGCGAGGACATGGCAGTGGCACACAGCGAGAGGCCACCTGGGCCACCCCCACCCAGAGCAGCCACAGCTCTGGGGCTTCAGTGAACACACAACTCCCAGTCCATCAGCACTCGGGGCTGTGTGAGCTCCACACGGAGCACAGGCCAGGGAAGCATCCGGCTCACTCACTGTTAGCCCCCTCAACAAACTCCTCCACAAAACAAGACTTTGCTGCCTCCCTCCACCCCTAGAGCCACCAAAAGAGGGGAAGAGCCCCAGCAAGCCCTGTCCCTGCAGCAGCCTCACCTCTGGGCGCCCAGCGCCTTGATGACGGTGGAGAGGAGCCGCCCGTCCTTGGCGGTGACCTGGGTGATGTACTGCGGGCGCCCGATGTCCGAGTCCTCCACCGACTTGGAGAGGGCAGCGCTGCCCGGGCAGTCGCACAGGGACCCGGGGAGGTGGCAGCAGTCGCCCGTCGTCATGGCAGCTCCGGGCCCCTCTGTCCCGGGACCGGCACCGGGGAGACCTGCGGGAACGGCACCGCGGTCAGAGCCAGCACCCTGCAGAGCCCAGCCCCTCACCACCCTCCTCGGGCTGGCAGCACCCCGGGGGCCCAACAGCCACGGGGCTTGTGAGCCTTCTGTCCCCTTTAATAGGCTTTGTGAGGCTGCCTTACCATAAAATTAAGACTCCAAATGTTCTACTTACATAACTTAACGATCGGAATTGCAAATTTACCTTTCTCGGAGAGAATTCCTGGCACCCACCCTTCAACCTGATGGAGCCTTTCAAACCAAATGTGCCAACGCAGAGGTGGGGAAGGCGACCAGAAGGCCCATGAGCCTGTGCTGTTCTGGCTAGAGCTGTCCTGAAAACTCATATTCATGCTCTCTGTAAACGCAGCAAAGTTTCACCCGGACAGGCACCCGAACCCGTTCGCGTGGCTCGGTTCAGGGAGGCCCTTCTCAGCTGCATTCAGGAGCTTTCTGAGCACTTGAAAGTCCACCCAAGCCCAAAGGGCTCCCCCACCTCATCTTTGATTTTCCTTTTTTAGATTCCTTTACAGAAATGCACACATTCCCACATTCCCTGCCGTCCGTCCCAACAGTGAACGTGTGGGTCTGAGCCTCCCAAAAGCACTGGAAGTGCTCCCCGGGCTCTCTGGGAAGGAAGGGCAGCAGGCCAGCTTGTCCCCTTTCCCTTTCAGCTGCTCAGACAACCACCACAACCATGTGACTTTTACAAGAGCCACATGCAAACAGCAAAGCACACCAGCGTGGTTTTGGCACTTCTGTGATTTACCCGGCAAAGAGAACGCACGGATCAAACAGCAAATGCAAGAATCAGGAAGAAGGTGCAGAGAAAAGCCCAACACAGCAAACCAGGAGCTGGCTGTGACGAGCCACATGTGGACAGGAGAGCTCTCTGCCTTTGAGGGAAGGCAGCAGCTCGCCCAAGCTGCCAGCGACAGCAGAGTCCCTCCCTGGCAGGGGATACCTCACCCCCAAAGACAGGAATGCTCTGCAGATTCAGAAAAATCCCTTTTTCTCCAATTGTCTTTAGCCTGGTCCCTGAGAGGCAGCTGTGCAGAAATAAAGGGCTGGGGTTACAAGTGAGTCACAAGCTGAACACAAGCCAACGACATCGTACTGCTGGTAAAACCAAAATCCCTGTGTCTGTAAACAGGACTGCCTTATGTAAGGCAGGCACAGTAATCCCTGTGCGCCAGCACTGCTGGGATCAGAGCTGGAATGCTGTCTCATCCTGGTGGCTGGATTTCAAGAAAGAAATAAATCCACAAAAGAAGTTCAAATGAAAGTAATGAAAAGGATAAAAGGCCTGCGGGGGGGGGGGGGGGGGGGGAAGCCTGAAATAAAATAACTCCAATTCCAAAGAAGAAATATGAAAAGAATTAAGTTTGTTAAATTCAGGAGGGGGGGAATCTGCAGTCTCTGTCTCCTGGAGGTAGGAGAAGGCACACAAACCTTCACCATCCCATCCAAGGAAAGGGTCTTTTGTTTAGAGATGTCTGTGCACAACAGGAGTCAAACGTTCCCATGAAACTACAGTTTTGTCAGGTTTAACTAAGCCAAAATCAAACTAAAATAGCTAAAGAAAATAAGGGCTTCTTCCTGGTTGGAGGCTTGGCCACACTACAGAAGAAGAAAACAAAAAGCCAATACAAGAATGTGACCCCTGCAGCCCTGAACACACTGACTTGGGTAAGCACAAGGGTTTTTTCCCCGTCTTGGAAATCAAGAAATTCTCACACAACCAAGGCCTTCATCTGTCAGGATGGCTTCCTTCATGTACACATGTTCAAGAGGGAGAGAGCCCTTCAGTGCTATCTCAGCACCAGATGCCAACTTTGGTAGCATCCCCTCATTTTACAGAATATTTTCTAATTTCTAATAGAAGACTTTCTAATCTCTTTATTAAAGCTGCTCTTGATAACTATCTGTAATCCTTCCTCTGCACCTGAACAGGAATAAGCTTGAGCTCGTGAGCAGGTCAATCCCCATCCAAACAAATGTGAATCTTTTCATCAGCCTAAAAATTAACTTCACAGATTCAGCCTCTCTCTCCACCTGTGCAAAGAGCACACAGGGTTAGAGCCACTTTTCTTATTGCTCTCCTCTTTAAAAAAAAAGGCTACAAACACTCCAACTTTAAGGAGCAAAAACCAAGATGACAAATGCTGTTGGAATGACTTAAGTCAGCTGCTCTACAAGTTAAGGAGTTATTTCAATTTTAACAACCTCTTACTGACTCAGGCATGAAAGGATATATGTTTTTAATAAAAAGGTCTGTTCCATTTGTTCGGCCAAAACGTTGTTTATTTCTAAGTGCAGAGGAAAAAGGGCCATTTTGCGTATTGGAATAAAACTGCCCTCACTGCCTGTGTCCTGGGAGTATTTACACTGAGGCTCTTTGTGCTCCACATCTGACAGACACAGGCAGCCCCATGGCCTTGCCCTGGCAGCCCTGCTCAGGCTGGAAGGGAATGGTCACCCTGCCTTTCTTCAGCAAACACGCGGGTTTCTGTTACAGGTTATTTGGAATCCCAAATTCCTCGCTGGGGTCCATCCCAGGGGAGAACCTGAAGTCACTGCTCTAATACCTGACTCACACCACTCAGTGAATACAAAGGAAAAGCAGCAGGATTTTCATGGACACAGTTAGAGAAGAAGTAACTGAAATGCAGAGGTGACATCTGCAGTGCACTCGGGTTCTGGTTCCATCCCCAGCGGAACAGGGACCACAGTGTACAGCCAAGCCAGTCCCCAGCCTGGCTCCCTGAAGGATCAGCTCATCAACACACAGCCTTCCCTCACAGCTGTCAGCAGCTCATCCAACCCAAACCCAACGTTCACAGAATCGTTCAGGCTGGAAAAGCCCTCTCAGATCACCGAGTCCAACTGTTCCCCCAGCACTGCCAAGGCCACCACTAACCCGTGTCCCCAGGTGCCACATCCACACATCTTTGAAATCCCTCAAGAGATGGCAACTCCACCACTGCCCTGGGCAGCCTGTGCCAGTGCCTGACCACCCTTTCTATGAAGAAATTTTTTCCACCTAAACCTCCCCAGCAGAGCTTGAGATCATCTCCTCTCATCCTGTCACTCGTTAACTGGGAGAAGTTACTGATCCCCACCTGGCTGCACCCTCCTTTCAGGGAGTTTTAGACAGCAAGAAGGTCCCCCCTGAGCCTCCTTTTCTGAATCCCCCAGCTCTCTCAGCCACCCCTCATCAGACTTGTGCTCCAGACCTTTCCCAAGCTCCATTTACAGAAGAAATGCCAAAATCCTGGAGAGATCCAAACAGCTGGTTTGAACCACACACTGTTTTTTTCTAAGCACCTGGGATTTCTGAGCCCATTCTTTCGGGATACATTTCTTTTTCACATTAAAAAAAAAAAAAGCCTTCAAGACACTAGGTTTATTATCAGTATCTCCTCTGCTGCCACAGTTAGACATGATCAAATAAATCGGAAGTCTCTTCTCAGCAACATTTTGTATCCTCAGCTTCCGAGCAGACCCAGGATATAAAGGGCTGAGTTTGTAAATATTACTCCAACTGAAGAAAAACAAACCCCGTTTGTGGAAAATTGGCTCAGAAGAAGGAGTTCTGCACCAGGACTCCAAAACTCAAACACGTGCAGCGAAATGAGCCAGTTCCTCAAAGAGCAGCTCGTGCTCCATCGCTGCTCCAAGGCAGAGACCAGGGTGCTGCTGTGGGATCCTGCTCCATGGCTTACGTGGAGCAGGCCAGCAAGAGATTCCCCCTCATCAGTCCTCAGGCATTGCAACAACATATATAACCCAGTTTATATCATCCAAAGGGCAACAAGGGGGCAAAACTCACTCAAAAGACTGCAGAGATCAGGTTGGACCAGTGCCCTCCATCCAGGAGACGTGCCCAGCGGGAACAAGCAGGAGTCAAGGAGCTAAAGGGTCCCCCAGCTCTGTTCTCCGTATTTAGACTTTGCAGATGGATAAAACAGTTATTTCTCCCACACAGGGAAACCACAGCAGAGCAGATGAACACCTGGATCAAAGCCACAATGGGAGAAGCACAGTCAAGGTGGGAAAGACAACAGGGAAGGCTGCAGTCAGTCAGTGGCAGCAGTGGGGAAGGTGCAGGTCGTGGCTCTGCTCTGCTGCTCACGGCCTGTCCACTGATGAATATCCCAACCAGTGTAAAGCCCTGGAGCAATTCTGAGGCTTTGACTGGATCCAGAGCAAACTGGAACTAGAACCAGCTCCACCTTCTCCGGGTGCAGTGTGCACACCTCAGCTCCTGAGCAGACCGGCTTCCCCGGACACCTCCACCAAGAAAAACACCCAACGCACGACCCGAGTCTGTTCCTGAGCAACCCATTTCCCTGATTACTGTAACCAAGGCCTGGCACCTCACCAACAGTGCCACATCAGAGATAAACAAGTTGTGTTGCCAACGTAACCCACCCATCTGTACACAAGGACTTTTTTTTTTTTTTAATTTATCTCGTGACCCACTGACTGATTGCAGATCAGCACTCCGACTGCTGCTCACGTGAGCTGATGTTTGATCCTGGGTGCAAGGCCACCCAGCCTGCTTTCCAAAGCCCTTTCAGCCAATTTGGGCACACAGACACTGAGCCTTCTCATCATGTGATCCTGCAAATGTCACCAGCAAACCGAAGGTTTTCAGGTGCTAAAGGGCATTTCCAAACATCAGTGCTTTCCTTTTCACCCCAAAAACTGCATTACCCAAACCCTGAGCCCTTCAACCATCTGAACACATCTTGAGGGAGACAAAAAGAATTGCTTTCTCCACACATCTAAGCACCTGCTCCCACACACCCTGTCTCACCCAGCTAATGCACATTACATACCTGAGACACTGCCACCAGAGATACAAGAGTGGGATGCTACGAGTGGCCTGAAGTGCTCCCTGCTACTGTTGAAAGGCTGCATAAGTGGATTACTTTAAAGAAAAAAAAAACAAGAAAAAAAACAAACCAAACCAAACAAAACAAAACAAAACAAAAAACCAACTAAAAAACCCCAAGAACCCATCCCAAATTGCTGCAGGGCTTTGTTTTCAGTTTTGTTTGTTTAAATACACTCTCTTGCTGACAGTTGAAAACCACAGCATTATTTTCTTCTTTATAAAAGTACACGATTTTATATATCAGCTGACTCCCCAAAGTTACCCTGTAGGTCTGCTGTGGAACACCTTAAAACTACCCAGAAAGCCAGCACAGGATCTGACCACACTTGACCCATCAGCAACTCGCCCATTGCCCAGGGCTCGTGAAGAAATCTTGTCAGTCCTATGCTCAGAAGTCACCTGAACACAACAGTCCTAAAGTCAGGGTGCAAGGAGCCCTGTTCAGTGAGAAAAGTGAGACAGCATTTTATGGCATATCATCCAACACTTAAAATAAGATCTGATGCCACACAACAGCTTCTAAAGCATTTTAAAATTTGGTAAACAGCACACAGGAAAGCATTTCACTCCCCAGCAGCTCCTCAATTTCCTGCCCTGCCTGCAACATTTGGTTGGCCATTGCAGCTAAAGGAGGTGCTGTAAAAACTTCAGCCTTAACTTGCACTTCAGACAGTGCCAGCAGAGCAATGCTGTGGATCAGAGAGCCAGGGGACAGCCTTGACCATGGGCTCAAAACAAAACAAAGCCCAAAAGAGCACAAGAACAAAATATTCAAGGGACAAGATTCTGGGAGCTTGTGAACCTTCTGATAAAGCTTCACACCAGGAACCTCCTCCTACACCTTTAACAGCCAAAGCTCGGGGCTGAGAGAGGTGAAGCCCCACTGCACCCACAGAGCCTCCCCTGCCTCACCCCTGGAGCTGAGTTTACAATGCCCATAACATGCTCCCAGTCTAACCCTGTAGCACCCAGGAGGGGGTCACAGGCTTCGAGGATGCAGCGTTTTTGGACTCCTGCATTTGCCACATTTGTACATGGCCGTGGCCAGCGACTGGCTCAGCTGCCCCTCCACTGTTCAGTGACACAACTCAGCACCAGCCTTCACTCACTGGCTGCTGCTGGGGACAAACCATCACTTCTCTATCCCAATCCACTATCTAGGCATATTCTAGAAGCTCTCTGAGTCTTGATTACTGTTATGGTCTGATGGCAAATGGGTTTGTTTTCCAGACACAGACGAAGAGACAGCCTTCCATTTTTTTCCAAAGAGACACAGTGCCAGGATCTGACTGCTGTTCCCCACTGGCAAAAAAATACTGCAGCAAGTCTTGGTGATCAATAACTTGTTTTCCAAAGCCTGCATCCATGCACATCCCTCCTCTCCAAAACTCAGCATATTGGATCAACATCTGCAGTAGCTTCACTTCATCTCCACATCTTGCAGCACTGGAAAACTATGGGCTGGCAAAGATCCAGCAGGAGGGAACCCTGATTTTCAAACAAGACCACAGGGATGGGTCTTGTGTGGGCACAGCAGAGCTGTGACACAACAGGGCTCCTATCACCCCTGAGTTTGGGGTACCTATCATGGTGTTCACCCCACTGTTTTTCAACCCAATTTTCTTCTAGAAGATTGTTGCCTAACATATAACAAAGTTACTCAATATTCAAAAAGAAGCAGGTTCAAACTCACATGCTCAGAAAAAAAATCAGTATAAAAAGGAGAAGCCTAAAGGATGATTTTTTTTTCTTGCTGTGCTTGGGAAAGATCAGGCTGTGCATTACAGCTGGAATGCCAAAATGAACAAAGTTATCTCAGATCTTCCAAGGCTCTTTATCTGCCACAAGGCCGCATGAAAGGAAAGTTTACTGCACTTTAATTACCAACATCTGGAAATCCAAACTGCAACACTAGAAGAAAATTCTTTGCAGAGGGTATCTCCAGACAAAATTCAGCCATGTGAATACAAGTTCTATGAGGAAACAACTGAAAACCAGCTGGGACGTGAGAAACACCTGCGGCTCCTCTGAGGATTTCAAAAGTCATCAGCTTTTAGAGGTGAATAGCAGCACAACTCACTACATAATCCAACTACACAGACCCAGCACCCACCTCCCTCTGCATTTTATCACTCTCTTTCTGAAGGGAAAGAAAGATGCATTAGTAAGGTTTGAAAGTTTTATTGAAATCATGAATCAGGGAGGGGGGTGGAATGAGTTATCATGCCCACCAAGCACTGCTTGCAGGGTGCTACCCATCAGTGGGGACAACAGCCAGCCCAGCAGACACAAGCACATCCCTGCCCTGCTGGAGGCACCAGAGCCACGTGGCCTCTCACATCTCACACCCACGTCCTCTACCAAAACACCAGCAGCACAAAGACACTTCTGCTTCCCAGCGCTATCGCTTCAGTAAGCTCCTCTCTAAAGAGAGGCAGCCTCTGCAGCAAGGCCAGAGCTCCCCAGTCCTGCCCAGTCACTTGCCAGGCAGTTTCAGTTTAGTCAGAAGAAATGGATTTTCCAGCTCTGGGTAATCCATCAGGAAACAGAATTTTAGTGCAGCAGTTCCACATGCACCAGATCGAGACTGCAGCGCCCACACAGTGCTGGACCCATCAGTCCCTCGGAGGGCACGACCCAGGAGGATGCAAAAAGTTATTTCAGGATGGGGAATCCCATGTCAGAAAGAACTTGCATTTTCCTCAGTGTTTTCTTCCTGGGTTGTACAAATAACAACACTCTGCTTGGAGAAAACTGGAGCTGGAACAAACGGCCAGCACGCAGCAGCCCTGCTCACTGCCTGCTCAGAGCAACCACCCCTCCACACCAGGCAGCACACTCAGCTCCCAACAGGCATCTGATCTGGAGTTTAACTTGACTATTTCTATTTTTCAACCTAGCTATGTCACAGATCTCTTCAGCACACCCACACTTCAAGGAGTTTTCCATCAAAGGCAGCACCAAAGGCAGCTGTGACCCATCATGCCACCGTGGAGAGCTCTAAAGTGGGCACCAGCTGAGAGCACTGCCATGGTCAGCCAAAGAGGAGGATTCACTGATCCCAGCCAAGTGCACCACTGTCTCCCTTCTGCCCACTCCTTACCGCTACAAGTTCCCTCCTCAATCCTTAAGTGAAACTCCACAACTGGTATCCAGGCTGCAACACTCCAGTTCAGTTTGCAACATTTTGCTTAGGCTGCATTTCTACTTCTTCTGGACACAGGCCTTGACTGATTTGTCTGCAGGGAAGTACAAGAAAAACTGAGAGGAAATAAATTAAGAACAGTCTGGAATTGTAGTTTTCCCTCCCACCACTCTCAAATCTAACCCCAAGCAGGTTTCAGCTGAAACAGGACTAAGGCTCTCAAAGCTTTAAAGGAATCAGTGTTAAAGTCAAGACTGCACGAGCTTGGTGCATTCCCCTTTTCACAGAGAAGTGCTTTAGATAGTAGGTTTGATTTGTTTGTACTTATATTTGCCAAGCCAATGTTGCTCCCTGCCCCTTGTTCCCTCTTTTTGGGAACAGGAGGGGAACGTTTCCTCCAGTCTATCACTGGTTTCATGACAGCTGATTAAAACTGCAAGAGCAGCTACAGCACGTCTGTCCTTGAGGTTAACCCCACACAGTCATCTCGGGCTCTATCAGGAATTGAAAAGTTTAGTCATAATTGCTACATAAAACTTGGAAGAAAACTTACAAATGCCTATTTTAATTGAAAACGGGGACAAATGAGATTCCAAACTGTAACACTGCTCGCCTGAGAGAGGCCTGGGTCAAGGAAGGCATTTGCACAGCTGATGGGTAGGAAGAGCTGCAGGTCAGGGCAGCTCCTGTCAGGCTGCTCCCTTCACTGGAGGACACACAGGGATCAGTCCCTGCCTTCAGGACTCTACCGTTCTGTACTTCACCACCAGTGCTTAGGGCTCTCCCACGCTGTAACTGCACAGTGGGAGAGGCTCATTCCACACCCAGGAAAGGTGCACAAATCCGTAAGAAGCGACTTCTCTACTTTTGCCAGGCAGGACAAGCACCTGAGTGCTCTCCCAAAGCACCTCTCCCAGCAGGGCTGTGTTGCTGCTGTGATGCTGATGAGTTGGAGCTGACCTGGTGTAATTACAGCAAACATGGCACAAAGAGCACGACAGCACCTCCTGGGGAATGGGAGCTGCAGTCGGAGCTGGGGAGAGACCCAGCCAGGCCTGGGGAGGTGCTGCTCACGTGCATGACATGAACTGTCTTGGTAAGCCACAAACTGTGCCTCAGCACAGATTAATCTGTTGGTTTTACCACTGGAGAAACCCACTGTACACGAACTTCACGGAGACACTCGCCTACCCTTCAGGCTGGTTTGGTGCTGTGCTTGTTTCCTTCACAGAAATGTGCCCCATGGCCTGTCCTGGACCTCACAGACACCGTGTGCTCAGGGGTCACTCACTGAGATGTGCTCAGGGTGCTTCCACGGGGACAAGCGCCAGCAACAGAGACCGTTCCTCTCTCGTGGGAAGGGTGTGAGCTAAGGGCAGGCAGAAGCATGAGTTAACCAGAGTAAACTGGACTGTGAGGGAGAAGAGACACACCAGTTCAAACTTTAATCTGCAGGGGAAAAAAAACCAGTTTGGAAACGGAAACTCTGCAATCTCCAAATATGTGAGTCAAAGTCAAGAGGGGAAAAAATAAACTCATTCTGTAGTTTATAGTTGAGGATGCCTGATTCCTCCCTTCATCTTCTAAGAAAAGTTCCTGTGTTTGTTAGTGTGAGAAGCCAGGACGTTTTAAACAATAATTTAAAAAGCTCCGAAATGCACATTTTACTTTGTGCCTCTGCCTGCAGAACTACTACAGAGTCACATCCTGAGGACCTCAGGACTAACAGAGTCTCAGGGCACATACCCAGCCTCAGCTTGCCCAGCTTGTGCTGGATGCATTTTATCTCGATTTTGGTCATGCTGTTCCAAAAAAACTGTACTAACTTCCTCCCAGGGAAAGATCATGTCCGACACTTGCTTGATGCAGGCCAGCATCAATCACCCAGAAGGGGAAAGGCCCTCTCCCAGCACCCATGGAGGCAAGAACTCTGTCGGAAGCTGCTCACAGTCAGTACATTGTAGTCCTGCTCATCTGCATGGCCCCCTTGGCGTCCGGCTCGGGGTGACCTCACCCTGCAGCCTCCTGCAATCCACAGCCAAAAAAAAAAGGAGCAGTCAAACACATCCAAAACAAGGAACATTAGTTCCAATGTCTTTTTTTTTTTTTTCTGTTTTCACTTAAAAGACTGCCAGTGGTGCTAATTAGCTAACCACGCACAGACAGCCCCAGATTCACAGCTGGCATTCAGTGCCCATGGATCACACAATAAGCTCTCACTTGGCTCCTTCCTGTGCCACCTGGTCTGCCCCTGGCAAAGTTAAGACTTCCTTACTGGTGCAGGCTGCCCGAAACACTCCCCAGCACGTGCTTGGGGGTAGTTAGACCTTGTGTCCTCCACTGGAGTTATTAAATTCACTGTCACAGTGCACGTGACAAAGAGACTTTAGAGTCCCAGCTCCTTTCCCTTCAAGCTTGTTCCCGAGGGGTGACACACCATCACAGCCTCAAATGCACCTGGAAAACAGGGCCCTGCCAGCCTTTCCAACAGTCCCTGCATAATCCTGTGGAGATGTAGAAAAGCATTCAAACACCTGGAAAGCCAAGACTCAGGTCCAGCTGTTCAAAGGATTACTCTGCGCACATGTGAGTGGCAGCCAAGAGGGGCTGGATGTCCCCAGGAGCAGGGGGACAAAGGGGATGGGCCACAGCCATCACAGCTGGACAACCACAGCAGCACCATAGGCACTCTCAACAAGGGCCTGGAAAAAGGCCAAGGAAGTGCTAGAAACTGTGTCAGAGGGGAAGAACACAGAGATAAATGCTTGCTGGAAGGAGAGTGGAGCAAGAGAATGAGAGTCCCGGGGAAAAGGAGGGCTGGTAACAGGAAGGGTTGAGAGAGGGACAGAAACAGTCCCTTGGGGATAAGCAAATAAAGGGCATGGGGTGGGATGAGAAGCACATCCTCACTGACAGATCATCACACACACCAGGGCAGGACAGTCCCATCCCTGGACACTGCAGGGATGGTGCACTGAAAACAAACAAGTGGAACTCTGGATAACCCCGACACTTCCAGTTTGCTACTATCACCCCTGACTTGAGTGACACTCCACCTGCCTGCCTGCAAAATCCCAGCTCTGCACAGCTCCCTCCCGAAGGCTGAGTCACACACACAGCAGCAGCCTGAACTCTGCTCGGGGCAGCAGCACACACAGCACAGCTGTGTCACCCCACGTGTCACCCCACACCTTGGTGGCACTATTTCTGTGGGTACTAAGTGCACACAGGACCCCCAGGGCCATCGCACAGCTTCTCAGTTTTTAATCTTGGTCTCCCCACCAGATCAAGAACATGCTCATACAACAAGAGCCCGTGTTTGAGACCGTGACAAAAACACCTCCCATGTGTTTTTGTCACACACTCATCCTCCTGTACACGAGTCACAGGCTTGTCCCTCGGACAAATCCGACAAACCAGCAGTTCTGGCCTCTGTCACAGAGAGCTGGCTCACAAAAACTGTCCTAAGATAGAGAGACTCAGTTTATGGAAAGTCCATCACAAACTCTAAGCTCACACCAGGAGGAAGGCAGCTGGTGCCCCAACACACAACTGCAGCAGCCTCTTCAGCAGTGCTGTGACACTGAGCCCATTCTCTGGGGAGAGCTCTGTACCAAGCTCCGCAAGGCAGCGTGCCCGTGCACACAGCGCCGGGGTCACAAACGGGCACCGGGACGCTGCAAAAGCTGAGAAAAAACGGGCAGGGCAGCCCGCCGGCAACGGAACCTTTTCCTGACAACGGCTTAGACCCGGGGGAAAGGAGCCTGAGGAGCGAACGCCGCTTCCCCGAACCTCCGGCGATGTCCGTGCGCGACACCCCCGGCGCTCCCGGGGGGACGGTGCCGGCCCAGCCCGGCCCGGCCCCGCCCCGCCCGAGGGGAAGGGCCGCGGCTCAGGCGCTCGGCGGACCCGGCGCAGCCCGGACCGGCGGCAGCTGCTCCCCGGGACAGGCCCCGAGCCCCGCGCTGCGGCTCCGGCTCCCGAGCACGGGCGGCGTCACACGCCGGGCACACCGGGCGGGCTGTCAGGGCTCCCGGGCCCCGGGAACAGCGGCCTGCACGCCTCGGCCCGGCCTCGGGACGCCGCGGCCGGGAGCGGAGCGGAGCGGAGCAGGTCAGGGCCGCGGTGCCGGCCCGGCCGCCCCGGAGCCCCCCCCCGCCCCCCCCGTACCTGCGCTCCCGGCCCGCGGCCCCTCCGCGCGGCGCGCGCCGCCCCAGCGCCGGCTGCGGCGGCCGCCCTGGCCCCGCCCCCTCGCGCCCCCCGCCAATCCCCGCCCGCGCCCCGAGTGACGCCGCGCCCGGAGCGCCCAATGACCTGCGGGGAACCCGCTGGCGTCGCAACGTGACCCCGGCTGGCAACAGGCGGCGGCCAATGGCGAGGGCGCACGAGCCCCGCCCCGGGCCGGAGCCCCGCCCTCCCCACACGAGGCCACGCCCCCTCGCTGAGGTCCCGCCCCCGGCCGAGCCCCCTCAGCGCCGGGGGACCCGCCCGGCCCCGCCCGGCCCCGCCCGGCCCGCGGAGCCCCGAGCCCCGAGAGCCCCGAGCCCCCAGAGCCCGGAGCCCCCAGAGCCCCGAGCCCGGAGCCCCCCGAGCCCCGAGCCCCCCGAGCCCGGAGCGCCCAGAGCCGCCTCCTCCGGCCCCCGCCGAGCCCCCGGGGAAGAGCCCTCTGGACCCGGCGCTCGTCCTCTGGAGGTCCGGAATTCCATCCCCACCTTCTTCTTCCACAGCCGTGCCTGGGAACAGAACTTTACGCACACACGGGATGATTTGGCAACCTTTATATCCACAATACATCATAACCATGCACAAAAATCGAGGGATGTGTGTATTTACAAAGTGAATTGCACTTAACACAGGAACCAGGGATAAAAGTAAATGAAAGGAACCTCTCCTCTGGGTAGCATAAAGGTCCAGTGCTATTTTTAGCCTACGAAGCCTGATAGACAACACTGCCGTGCATTATCTGACCAGTGTAAAATAGGAATTGCTGTTATTTATTGAAACAGTGCAGCCCTGCAGACAGTCATTCCACAGAAACGTTCCACAAATCACCATTCCAACTGTATTTCAGAGTCTGCAAGCCAAGAGAATCCACCCTTCAGCCCCAGCTCACTGTGTTTGACTTGAAGGACACTTAGTCTTCATCCTCAATTGTCTGATTTTTCTTAGTTGAAATTCAGGCCCCTGCCTTTAATACTGTTTGTTTAGGTTTTTATGAAGGAAAGAGGCCTCCCTAAGTGACCGAGTCGCTTCATTGGGATCTTCTTTTCTTCTACAGAGTCCAGAACCTCTAAGTAAGTTCTTCCTTCATGCTTGGGAGGGAAACAATCACCAAGCCTTGGCAAGCCCCAGCCACAAACAGATCCCACCGACACCCTCTGGAGCAGTACAGAACGCAGAGATCAAAGCACCAGAGAGCAAAAATACCTCCTGCACATTTTTCCAACAGCTTTTGGTAAGTGACTGATTCAAATAAAGGCACAGATCAACCCCTACCACGCCCAAGCCAAGAGCACTCTGCCCATCCCCAGCCCTTCCACGCACTGGGGGGGTCACAGAACAGCACCTGAACAGGGGCATCTCTGGGATGCACCATCTTTCTGAACTAACCTGTCACAGGGGCAAGAAGGCACTGAAGTGCCTTTTCCTCCTACCAAATGTTGACTGTCTCCGCAGCACACACTAAAATCTCTTTAACAAAGCCCCAAGCAGTCACTTTGCAACTGGATTTTCACAAGTACAGAGCTTTAAAACTTCCCTGTGAACAAAACTTCCTTGTCCCATGCAGGCTCCAACTCTCAGTGGAGATCCCAGACTAACTCACCTGTCTGTAAGCACTGGCTCAGCAGGAAGAGGTCTGATTGATTCAGTCCACCCAAGGAATTCATTTTACCAATTAGCTGTTTGTGTGCTCAGGACCAAATCACTTTTATGTGTGAATTTTGGTCTTCATCCTCCCCATCACTAACAGGAGAGACAGCAGGACACTCTTGCCTAGTTCTGTGTTAAAGGATCTGTTCTAGATACCAGCAGGAGCCTTGGGCTGATGTTTGTGTTACTGACCCAGGGCTTTGTAGTGTTATCTTCCAATAGTTTAAAGGAAAGTCATTCTCAACATCCAAGTAAAGCAAGCAGAGCACACATTCCTTCTTTCACAGGCAGCTTTCCTGTCACCAGGAGTTTTACATAAGCCAAATTCTTCCCTCAAATCCCTTCTGGCAGATGGAAGAGAGATGGAACCTTTTCTCTTTTCCTGACAGTAATACTGAGAGACACAGAGCCAGCAAAGCTGCAGGATGAAGCAGTCCAGGTGAGGTTACACATAACCAGTCATTTTCACAACAGGAAAACACAGTTGAGGACTCTGGGCTACTGGAGAGTTTCTCTGAATGTCAGACAGCTCTGCAGCAGCTCCAGCTTCCTCAGGATTCCTCCAAGTCTTCCCCTTGGCAACTCCAGCAATTCCACCACAAGTGGGCTGGGTTGTGGGTGAGTTTCTGAGGATGCACAATGCTTCAGCAGGACACCAGGAACTCCAGATCAAAAGCATTTTCCCTGGGCTGTGCACAGGATGGTGGTTTAACCAGGCAGAACTGGCCCACTGTCCTCTTTCCTGTTGGCACTAACAGCCCTGTGCTCAGGGCTAGACATGGACCTTTCACTGGGACTCTGAGGCAAAGTTTAGAGTCTTCCACAATGTCAAAGGCTAAAGAAAATCTCTTAAGAAACAAGGAAGTGACTAAACTGCCTCTCAGCTTCTTACACCAGACCAGACTGATTCTGGAAACTTCATGTTAAGACCAGGACTTGCAGAGTAAGCACGTTAATACACCACCCTGAACTAATGGGTCTTCTTGCCAGCACAATTCCTCCTCATGCTATCCAAGTAATTTCTTTATAAAAAGTGTATTCAAAAATTAAGGAGCTCAGCTCCACTAATGTCCACTTGTTCTTGAATGAAGTATTTTCAATATTTCAGAATTTTCCATTCTCTCACTGCCAGCTGCCTAAACACTGACTGCATGTTATATTCTGGTCTAGGACCACCAAAAAGGAGACAACCCAACTCCCACCTTCTCTCAACAGAATGCTACTGAAGTAAATACCAAGTGTTGAAAGTGCTTCCCAAACTAGGACACCCTTAGGACGGAGCACTGTGATGCCTAAAGAGGAATTCATATCCTCATTCAAGGGGACCAGGCTGCAAGAATGCACCCCTTCCCCCTGAATGTATCCTCCAAACAAAGGTGAAGAGTGGAAGTGCCAGGCACCATGTGCATCCTGTGCTGTGAGCTGCAGCCCTCTCAGTGTATACAGTACAAAATTAAAGGCATTGGTCTGGAAACCTTATGAAAGAAAAGCCATCAGAGTTAACCGCCCTTAATTTTATTACGTAACCAGACAGAACAGTTGAGACTGGAATGTCAGATTCCCCCTTCAAGCACAATTCACAGTTTCATATTTGCTTTGTATCAGAAAAGAAATATCAACTCACTAATATGCAGCTGGGATTCATCCAGTGAGGTACAGGCTCAGAATACAGAGCAAAAACTCACTGCAAACGGCTCCACGAGCCCTCAGGGAGCAGCAGATGGTCTCCAGCTCTTCCTTCAGATCATTTCACCCAGTATGTGCCACCAGAACATTCAGCAGATACCGGAGGGGATGCAAGTGTGCAAGAGCCAGTGAGTGATGAGAAGCCATCAGAGAAGATTTGCACAAGCAAGCAAGAGACTGACTACACAGAGTTGTGGTAACATTCTTCCCATTCAGCACAACAAAGAATTAGAGTAGTTAGCCCTGCTGATGACAAATCTGTTACATCAGTGGAGTACAATCGTTTAAGAATTACAGTCTGCAGTTCAGTAAAACAGTAAGAGGAAAACAACAGGTTAGTAGTTATTATGTGAAATCCTAATATGCATTTTACCAGAGGTCAATAGTGAAAGATCATGAAGAGAAAATTCCAGGTGCTATGGATCTGCAGAAGTTTTACAAAATGTATAAAGTATCGTGTTTCTCTACAACAACCAAAACCCTTACAAGTGCAGGTATATACGTGACATGAAAATATTGCTTCACTCACTCAAACAGGGGCAGGAGAGATCTAGAGAAAAAGCAGCATGCAAAAAACCCTGGAACTAGAGCAGATCCTGCTTTCAGACACTGACCTACAGTACAAAAGAAGCCTACTCATACAGGTTGCAAAAGGTTTCTGAAATCAATACGCTGGCACTTACTGTACAATAATGTTAACTGATTAACATAAGCTATGAATAAATATTAAGCCACTTCATAAAGCCTGCACAGGCATTCATGGTGGCAGAGAAAGCAATGCAGACATACTTCATTGTTCCCAAATAAAACAAGAATAGAGAAAGATTTCCCAAGCAGGAAACAGTAAACTACACAGCCAGACTAACTGTATTAGGGGTAATTACAGAATAAGTAATGTTATTTTCAACAGCTTTCTTATGTGTGTGCAGCCACTAAAATCCTCACTGTGAGACTTTATCAGGACAGAAAACAGAGCATTTGGTAGGATAGCTAGTTTAATTTCTCCCCCATGTTTACAGAAACACAAGAAAAAAAAATATCTGACTATGGGAGGAAAAAACCTTGTCACCTAAATGTAGTTATTTCTTCAACTGTTAGAGTCAAGTCCCCATGGTTCCTTTCCCAAAAATAAACAACAACTAAAAGAAAAAACAAAAACAAACCCCAAACCACCAAACTCAAAAAAAAAAAATGCCCAACAAAACCAAAACAAACCCATTTGAGAAGAGTGTTCCATGGGATAATATCCAGCAGCAGATGTTCCAACACAAACATGTCTATCAGATCAGTGACTACATTTCAAGCCCAAAAGTCACCACATGGAAGGGGTTTCAGAGGCAGGGGGATGTTAGCCCTACAATTAAAGCTCTAACATGAGAGGGGAGATTCAGGAATGGAGCAAAAGGAGGGAGGGGGGAGTCACTGAATCACAGGAGATAAGAAGTGCACACAAGTTTCTAAATGAAGCACAGACGAAGTGAAGGGCACGAGAGTCATCTACAGAAGGTCACAGGTTCTGACAGCACTGGAGTTTGTTGGATTTCTGTCCGTCGGTGGTGGGTGGGACGCTGATGTCGACGACGTTGTTGCCGGGAGACTCGTCGTGCGCGGACCGGTCGGCGATTTGCTTCTGCGACACGATGCGGTAGATTTCTGCCAGAGAACACAGGGGTTAGAGCCTGCAGGGCACGGGCCAGCCTGACCAACAACGTGCTAGAACCCGAGAACGAGAACATTTAACCAGGGAATCTAGTCTGACCAGATGTGACGTGTAACATCTGGCTGGCTTCTCCGGCTCTGGAATGGATAAGCCGGCTCAGTCTGGATAAGTTATTAAGACAATAGTCCTCGCTGTCTTCCACAACAGCACTTCCCATCCCGCTCTTTTTCAATGACTCCATGAACATGGAGATTATTAAAAGGGGGTTTTAAATTGGAAAGGAGCAGGAATGCTCATTTCTAAACAGAGAATCCCAGAATCATAGCATCCCAGAATCATAGCATCCCAGAATCACAGCATCCCAGAATCACAGCATCCCAGAATCACAGCATCCCAGAATCACAGCATCCCAGAATCACAGCATCCCAGAATCACAGCATCCCAGAATCACAGCATCCCAGAATCACAGCATCCCACAATCACAGCATCCCAGAATCACAGCATCCCAGAATCACAGCATCACAGAATCACAGCATCACAGAATCACAGCATCACACAATCACAGCATCACACAATCACATCACACAATCACAGCATCCACAACACAGCATCATCACAGCATACACAACCCAGCATCACACAATCACAGCATCTCAGACAGCATCACACAATCACAGCATCACCAATCACAGAATCCACACAATCACAGCATCCACAATCCCAAGCATCACACTAATACACCATCACAGCATCATCACAATCACAGCATCCCAGCATCCCACAATCACAGCATCCCACAATCACAGCATCACACAATCACAGCATCACACAATCACAGCATCACACAATCACAGCATCACACAATCACAGCATCACACAATCACAGCATCACACAATCACAGCATCACACAATCACAGCATCACACAATCACAGCATCACACAATCACAGCATCACACAATCACAGCATCACACAATCACAGCATCACACAATCACAGCATCACACAATCACAGCATCACACAATCACAGCATCACACAATCATAGAATCAGCTGGGTTGGAAGGGACCTCCGAGATCATCAAGTCCAACCCTTGATCCACAACTGCTGTGGTTACTAGACCATGGCACAAAGTGCCACATCCAGTCTCTTTTTAAAAATCTCCAGGGACAGAGAATCCACCACTTCCCTGGGCAGCCCATTCCAATGGCTGAGCACCCTCTCTGTAAAGAAATTCTTTCTAATATCCAACCTAAACCTCCCCTGGCACAACTTGAGACCATGCACTCTTGTCTTGCTGATGGTTGCCTGGGAAAATAGACCAACCCCCACCTGGCTCCCCCCTCCTGTCAGGGAGTTGCAGAGAGTGAGGAGGTCTCCCCTGAGCCTCCTCTTCTCCAGGCTGAACAGCCCCAGCTCCCTCAGCCTCTCCTCACAGGACTTGTGCTCCAGTCCCTTCCCCAGCCTAGTTGCTCTCCTCTGGACCTGCTCTAGCACCTCAATATCCTTCCTTTCTTTTTGTTCAAAAAAAGAGGGAAACATACTCTAGAAATGCCAATCACCAGGATGCTGGGAAACGTCCTGCACAGCAGCAGTGACACTTCCCTGCTTCCCACCTCAGCTCCTGGGAAGCTGCTACCACCAAAGAACAGCAACGCTCCTCCCTGCAACAAATCAGTTTCCCCACTTATAACAGGAAAAAGCCACATGGATCCATAAAATCCCACGTTGATCCAAATTAATTCGTTTGACTCAAATTAGTTTATGCCTGAAAGCACACAGACCCACAAAGCTGCAACTGCTGAAGAGAGGCTGCCAGTTTAAAAGCTTTCAGAAACAAACCATTTCAACTTGCATGGTTAGTAGAAATAATATAAGTTGAGAGGTTTTTAAATTACTTATTTCACTGACTAAAGCCTGTGTTCCAACTTCCCTCCATTGTGAAACAGGAAAAGGGCAAGTACCTCCCTGGAAGTCTGTGGTAAATATTATGGTCACATTCATGCAGCCACAGCCCCAAAACAGCAACACACGGAGCCTTTAGTAAGGATTAAAAATCATGGGGGGCTGTACAGGGATGGTTTGTGGTGGGTTTTTGTTAGGTTTGGGTTTTTTTTTTAAAGAAGCTGCATGTATCTATGTTGTTTGAAATGGAAACCTTTAACCCAAGGCCATTCTCTTTGCCACTGGCTGCCTACAGCTCTCTGCTGAAAGGGATGAGGAGAGCTGTTCAGAGGCAGTCACATCCTCTTTCTTTCCTGCTCAGTGCTGTATTTGAATACAAGCTGTTCCGAGTCATTGCCAAGCCCCCTCTGCTTTGGGGTAGCACCTCTTTGGGGTGTTTTGTGGGTTTTTTCTTCCAGTCTTTAGTGATCTCAAACGAGTGGCCAGTAAGGAAACTCCTGCCCCGCTGTTCCCACCCTCTTCCCTCCTCCAAGTCTGCTGCAGTGGTTCCCAACTCACTGCTCTACACAGCACATTTTCCCAAGTTTCTTCTCCTCTCAGAAGGATGATTCTCCCCCAGGTAAACACTTCAGGAGTAGCCTTTTCAGGACTAATCAGTCCTGAACCACACACTACCTGAACTGGACAATCTCAACACTTTTGGGAGTCCAGGATGCTGCCAAGAGAGAGGGGGTTGAGTTCAGGCCTGACCTCAGCTTGACTCCTATCACAGCACCAGGGCTCTCCTAGAGCAGCCTCAGGCCAGCTTCTCTACCCAGGGTCAGTCTCAGGACCACACTGCAAGGGCAGACAGGATGGATGGTGACTGATGAACTATGCTCAGAGCACTAAAACCACGGACACTGTCTCAAAGTGCCGGGGAAGTTGTCTCAGATCCAGCCAAGGGTCCCAATCAGCAGTGAATCACTTCCAGCACCAGCAGCTCTGCCTCACTCTCCAGTTGCTTCACCAGGAGCTCCAATAACACAAATCTTGCGGGGCAGCAAAGACACCCCATTCCTAGTCTGTCAAGCTCTTTACTTACAGAACCAGCTTGGCTACCCTTTTTCTCCTGCCTGCCTCTTCTTGGGCACCTTGGGGTCAGAATTGGGGGTGTTCAGGTTAGAGAAGGGAAGGCTCTGGGGAGACCTTATTGAGAACTTCCAGCCCCTAAAGGGGCTCCAGGAGAGCTGGAGAGGGACTTTGGACAAGGGCCTGGAGGGACAGGACACAGGGAATGGCTTCCCACTGACACAGGGCAGGGTTAGATTGGGGAGAAATCCTTCCCTGTGAGGGTGGTGAGGGGCTGTCCCAGGTTTCCCAGAGAAGCTGTGGCTGCCCTATCCCTGGAAGTGTCCAAGGCCAGGTTGGATGGGGCTTGGAGCAACCTGGGCTAGTGGAAGGTGTCCCTGCCCATGACAGGGACTGGAACAAGATGAGCTTTAAGGTTCCTCCCAACCCAAATAATTTTGAGATTCTATGATCTTCCTCTAATTGCAACACATTTCTGTTACTAACAGACTTAGTGACCTCAATACTTTCTAGTGTTTCCCTGCACACCCCTGCAAAAGGATCCCAAAAGAGCTTGCCTTCAGAATTCACCTTATTAATGCTCAGCTTTTTTTCCAGTAATAGACTCTCACTGATACATAATCAAGAAACAGTAAGGCAAAGCCAGTTTTTTTGGTCAGCATCCAATAAGCAACATAGACCAGACACTGCTCCATAATCAAGTAGAACCAGAACAAAGGCCTGTTCTTGTTTAACTGAAATCGATATCTGGTCAAAGAAAGCTCAGAAAATGCCCATCTTGAGATGTTGTGGGACATGCAGATCAAGCACAACTTTACAAAAGAGTTTAGAGGGACAAGACTATAGAGGCAGTTAATTGGCCCAGAATTCAGCTCTAGTAAGGAATTGGATCTTGTCAGCTCTTCATGTTCACTGTATGGACCTTAAAGAGTTTTTCAAGAGACAGAACAAACACACTGATAAATTGTCCCCTCTATAGACAAGATTCAGATCTCTTGGCATAGACAGAAATAGAGCAGTAAACCAATACCTGCCTGATCTCCCTCTTCCTATTCAGATAAGACTTTTAAGGGTTCTTTGCCAATTACTTTTTTCAGAGTGGGACACTGCTTTGAAATATCAGCTTCACAGAATCACAGAACAACTGGGGTTGGAAGGGACCTCTGGAGATCATTCAGTCCCACCCCCTGCCAAGGCAGTCACGGGGAGCTGGTGACACAGGAACACGTCCAAGTGGATTTGGAATGTCTCCAGAGAGGGAGACTCCACATTCTCTCTGTGCAGCTGTTCCAGTGCTCTGCCACCCTCCATGGAAAGAAGTTCTTCCTCATGTTGAGGTGGAACTTCTTGTGTTTGAGTTTATGGCCACTGCTCCTCAATGCTCATTGCTGTCTCTGGGCAGCACTGAAAAGAGTCTGGCACCATCCTCTGACAGCCCTTGGAGATATCTGGATGGACTGATGAGGATACCTCTCAGCCTTCTCTTCTCCAGACTAACCAGGCCCAGCTCCCTCAGTCTTTCCTCAGAAGGGAGGGGCTCCAGACCCTTCACCATCTTTGTGGCTCCACTGGACCCTCTCCAGGACCTCCTTGTCTCTCTTGTCCTGCAGAGCCCTGACCTGGACACAGCTCTGCAGATGTGCCTCCCTAGGGCTGAGCAGAGGGGCAGGATCCCCTCCCTGACCTGCTGCCAATGCTCCTCCCAGGATCCCACCAGCCCTCCTGGCCCCAGGACACACGGCTGGCTCATGCTCAGCTTGTCACCCACCAGGACCCCCAGGTCCTTCTCCGCAGAAGACGCTGTTGGTGCACAGTCCCCTACAACCCCTGCCACCAGCTGAGAACAAGAGTTCAGTGCTGTGACAAAAGCACCAGTTTGCTCTGGTGCAAGAGAAGACATTGGAACATTTAACTTCCCAGCAGGGCTGTGGCTTCACTGCTGAGATTTTGTGCAGGCACAAAACTACTACTACTACTCCTTTACAACAGTGCTGTGGCAAAAGCTTGAATTTATGGAACACCAGGAGATAGAAACCCTGTCCTTGGGCAGAAAGGTATGTGTGCAGTGGGAGGCAGAACACAAAGGTAAGATTAGAAGGCCTGGAAACTAACCATCATTCCCAGCATTCATTTCCAAAACATTCCAGATAACTGCAAAACGTGCCCATGAAGAAGATCCACCACCTCAGGAGCTCCTCTGAATCCTCAACAAACCCTACCTGTAAGGATGTTCTTGAAGGCTTCTTCTACATTTGTTGAATCCAGAGCAGATGTTTCAATAAAAGATAAATTATTTTTTTCTGCAATAAATAAAAAGTTGTTCAGTTAAAAACTTTAATAACCCTTTATTTCACCTTTACTTTGAGGTTTTTACCTTTATTTTTAGGCCACATCAGCCAAGGCACAGTTGTTTTTCCTTTTCCCTGTTACACAAGGAACACTTTGTTACACATTTAGCTGCTGTGTTTCAGCAACATCTCCTTTGCCCACAGTGTGAGAACATTTTCCACTGCAGCCCTTGCTCAGTCAAGCAACACAAAATATCATTCTCCTCTGGCTACAGATCACACCCAGAAGTACCTTGAGCAAGAGCCCTGGCAAAAGCAAGTCAGCTGCCACAGAGCCACACTTCTCCTCTGCCACCCCAGAAAGATCAACAGACCTACACTTTCCTAACCAGACCACTGCCAAATCACCAGAACCCCCTGTAAGACAGTCCATTTGCTTCTTTCCTCTTACAGTGCAAAAGATTTTTTTTTTATTAGAAAAGAACGTGATTGACACCCAAACTTCACACCTACAATGGTTCTGTCCCATCTGCCCAGGAACAGGCAAATGTTTCAGCCACAGAACTTAAACAGCAGCACCAGGACCACTGCTAGCAATTTAAAACAGCCTTAGTAGAAAGTCAGGGGCAAAAAATAAGAAGCTGAACCAAGTGACCAAACTAATAGGCTATTTGGGGCACACACCAACCTGTTTTGCTTCTCTCAGATAAATGTCACTTCTCATTCATCTGAAAATATGAAGTGGTTTTATGACCCACAGGGTACTCACTTACCAGCAAACTTCAGAGAGCATGTTTAAGCAAGCCCTGGTAATATTTCTAGAGGTATTTTAAAGGCTGTACTTCTAAATTCCACCTCCAAGCTTGACAGCCCCACAGAAGTCAGCTGAATGTCCCCAGGCCTTTAGGGGCCAAAGAGTATTTGACCAGTGCTCTGACAGGTAAGGAAGGGAGAAGATGACACTACTCTGTGCATCAGTGCTCTGGAGCAGAAACCAGCCCATCTAGGAGAAGGTTCAGCATTCATTTGCAGCTGTGCACACTGATATCTACTCAGCAGAACCAGGCCTCTAGGAAGGAAGGAAAGATATTTTGTGTTGTGGTATTTTTTGTTTCTATTGTGGCATTTTCTCTTCTAAATGTTGTTTGCTGTTTCTAGCCTCGTTAGAGGAAGTGTTTAATCTCCAGCTATCAGGCAGCTCAAGGACAGGGTTTCAAAAATATGTAGCACCACTAGATTTAAAAAAACAACAGAGAAACCCAAACCAAAAATAATGATTTAAAAAAAACCCAAAACAACACATAACAACAAAAAAATAAAAATCCAAACCACACGCAAGTTAACCAGACAAGTTATTTTAACTTAAAAAAAAAAAAAAAAAAATAAATTTTTTAAAGAGTCTGGCACCATCCTCTGACAGCCCTTGGAGATATTTGGATGGACTGATGAGGACACCTCTCAGCCTTCTCTTCTCCAGACTAACCAGGCCCAGCTCCCTCAGTCTTTCCTCAGAAGGGAGGGGCTCCAGACCCTTCACCATCTTTGTGGCTCTGCTGGACCCTCTCCAGGACCTCCTTGTCTCTCTTGTCCTGCAGAGCCCCGACCTGGACACAGCTCTGCAGACGTGCCTCCCTAGGGCTGAGCAGAGGGGCAGGATCCCCTCCCTGACCTGCTGCCAATGCTCCTCCCAGGATCCCACCAGCCCTCCTGGCCCCAGGACACACGGCTGGCTCATGCTCAGCTTGTCACCCACCAGGACCCCCAGGTCCTTCTCCGCAGAAGATGCTGTTGGTGCACAGTCCCCTGCAACCCCTGCCACCAGCTGAGAACAAGAGTTCAGTGCTCTGACAAAAGCACCAGTTTGCTCTGGTGCAAGAGAAGACACTGGAACATTTAACTTCCCAGCAGGGCTGTGGCTTCACTGCTGAGATTTTGTGCAGGCACAAAACTACTACTACTACTCCTTTACAACAGTGCTGTGGCAAAAGCTTGAATTTATGGAACACCAGGAGATAGAAACTGAGCTGGCAGAGCAGGTGGGCCCATGCCCCACGGGTTGCTGATGGCCCTGCCCGGGTACCAACCTGCGAAGGCGCGGGCCTCGTCGGTGGGCACGGCGCGGAGGTGGCGCAGGTCGCTCTTGTTGCCCACCAGCATGATGACGATGTTGTTGTCGGCGTGGTCCCGCAGCTCCTTCAGCCAGCGCTCCACGTTCTCGTAGGTGAGGTGTTTGGCAATGTCATAGACCAGCAGAGCCCCCACAGCACCCCGGTAGTACCTGCAACCACGAGGCACAGCCCTTTACAGAGAGCTCGGTCCCAGGCGCGCCGACAAACCTGGCACCTGGCTCTGCTACGCTGGTTTCCACTTTGGAAAAAGTTGTGCTGGTTAAAAGTACTGCCGTTGGTTGTTTGTTATTTTTTTTAAACCCAAAACCAAGTTCCAAACACAGCTTTTTTTTTTCCTCTAATGGCATTTCTAAAAAAACCCAGTGTATGTAGCAAAATGCTGGAGAGCCTGCAGAGGCCAGCACGTTTTCAGTCTGCTCAGACAGTGGGCACAAAAACCCACCATTTCAGAATTGGTACTGCTGGGACGTTTTGTGAAGTCACAACTTAACCTTCTACTAGGAAAACAGTCCTTAGTAAAATGTCAGTACTTGCTCCTGATCCTTCAAATATCTCCTGCCTCTCTTACAAATTAAAGAGGAGACTCTGGGCTTCATTGTCACCACCCACACTTGATCCAAGAACAGAGTTTGCTCCCTCAGGGCAGGTTTGGGCCCATTTCAGCACAAGCCAAGGGCTCAGCACAGCACAAGCCAATCTGTGTCATCAATCCTATAATGCCCATATCTCTCTTCCACACAATCCTACCAGCACCTGTCTGACATGTTGTTGAACCAAGTCAGGGCACCAAGTCAGCAGAAAACATTCCCTTGTCCCTGCTGGCCGAGCAGGCAGAACTGGCTGAGCCATGTGTGGAGCAGGAGCTCGTGCCAGCACAGAGGAGAAGCAGGATCACAGGGCTGCAGCTGCACTGGTTCCCAGCAGCCAAGCCTGTTGTTGTTGAACCAGACTCAGCAACAGTTTTTACAGCAGAAAGAACAATTCAAGGGTCACAAAAAAATCCTGGAAACCACACTAATAGTTCTGGAAAATATGCAATTTGAAATTGCCACTTACATCTGCTTCTGCACTGCTTTGGTTCTGCAACCCTTTCCCTATAGATTGCTCCCTATGGGCTCCAGGTTCTCCTGGTTTTCTCCTATCTTGACAAAGTTCCCCTTACCTTGAGTTTAATGAAAGTGGCTCAACCTGTGCATGACTCAGAAACAGGTTTTTACCTTTAGAAACTGATACACCTCTGTAACATAACAAAAAATCAACTCACTGATCAGAAGATGCCCTGGAGAACCAGGCCTGACCAGAGGGTTTGCTTTTTGTCCTCTGCCAGACAATTTTACCTGCATAGAAACAGGTACACCCAGAGGTACATCTTAAGGCACCCTGTGGATTAACAAGGTGTCATAGGTGAAAGCTTCTCACCACCCTGTCCTAACCAGGGATGTGCCTGATGCTGCACAGTCAGCACTATCACAGTTGCCTTCCTACTTCCTGGCTATTCAGCGTGTGCCTGGACCTCATTTTCAGGGCTGTGACTAATTTAAAGTCATTGAGATTTCAAAGGACTTTGTGGCTGCAGACTGTCCTAAAAATACCACCAATCTCAAGACTGAGGGGGCAGCAGAGACCCCATGCCACAGGTGTTACAGTAACCCACTGTGCCTGGACCAAAACTTGATGCCAACAGTACCCAGCTTCCATCCAAAATGACACTCACCCCACCTGATGAACACAGCACATCCAGGGCAGACAAAAAACCACATCACAAGACTCCAACAGAATCTCCCACACTTTTGATTTAAGCTATCATTTGCTTCTATAACAGTAACTTGAGAATCTAGAAACTACTTTCGTTATATTAACCAAGGAACACGACAAAAGTATTTGCTACCTTACGAGTGGGATCCACACTGGAGCCTGTCGTCATGATCTTGTCACACGTCCCAAACACGTTTCATTAATTCTCTACCCATAAATTTATCTGCAGCACCCCTGCTAGAATCCTCCTGAGCAGAGGCAGGGTACTCACGCTGAGGTGATGGCGCGGTATCGCTCCTGTCCCGCCGTATCCCAGATCTGTGCTTTTATCGTCTTCCCATCCACCTGGATGCTCCTGGTGGCAAACTCCACCCCAATGGTGCTCTTACTCTCCAGATTGAACTCATTGCGTGTGAAGCGTGACAGGAGATTACTCTTCCCAACTCCAGAGTCTCCAATCAACACAACTGAAAGGAGAGACATTATTTTCACAATTAATTCCTCGCCCCGGCGCTGACCCCGCGCAGCGGTGTGGCCTGGCAGGCAGCACCCTCAGCAACTGTGCAGCCACATAAACACAGGAGAGAGCTACAGGGACAACACCTCAGACTCTGCTACTCACAGCTTGCTTTCCTCAGCCCCAAAACCACCCCAAGCTGCTCTGTAGGTAGCAGCTGCTCAGTGCTCAGTACTTAGAGGTGGAAATGAGAAATTGCTCAGTACTTAGAGGTGAAAATGAGCAATTTTCAAAGCCAAAGGTGCTTTGGAGGCCCCAACCACCTCAGCAGGCAGAGATAGATGTCCCTTGCACACTCAACCTTTGGCAGAGGAAGGCTGCAAGCCACATTTTAAGAAACACTACAGCCATGGCAACAGGCCACTTGTCTGCCCAACAAAAGCCTCTGTACAGTATAAACCTACTCTATTTTTGTTAAAAACGCAAAACACCCAAGTAAACAATTATTTGCAGTTCCTGTTGGAGTCATACAGGGTGTTTTATTTCAATAATTTAATTCACAAATACGTTCACCACAAAAAGGGGGAAATAGGAGACATCTGATACCACAAGCAAGATACAAAGCAAAGCAGAACTTCATCCAGCAAAACAAGTTCTAGTAGGCTGCATGAGAAGTAAGAGATGAGCTAGAAGCTCTGCCTCCACACGCTGTGTTGCCATGTTAACAGAAAAATGTTAGTGCAGAGAGATCTTCAGCACACAAAGCCCAGAATTCCTGAAAGGAATTGTGAAAACAAAAGCTACATCTTGTGGTAGGAGGTTCCCTCTACTTTGGGGCTTATCAACAAGAGCAAGAAACAACTGACAGGAACAAGGCTGAAGCAGCTGAGCCACCCTCCCTTCGGCTCCACAAACTCTGTGTCACACACGCTTTGGAATTCAAGTGGCCTGGCTCAAGTAGAAGGAAAAAAGACAGCCAGTCTCTGGGAGCTTTCTTCAACCTTGGGAATATTCCTTACTTACGTTCAAAGTACAGATTTGCTGATCTCCCTCGTTCATATGATCTGTTTTTCCTACAGAAAAGCAGACACAGGCAAAAAACATTCCCAATCCCTCCACAATTACAGAAGAATCTTCTCATCGCACACTTCCAGAATGAGCTCACCAGCATTCTCCCAGGGCCAAGGATTGTACTTGTCTTTCAGTGTTATTACAGCTTTTCTCTGCTCAGGCCATTGTTTGAGGATGCAGCTCTGGCAGGGCCCTGCTCCAGCTCGCTGCCTCCCCGCCCCTGGAACACATTCCCGGGGCTGCTGCTGGACCCTGGCTCTGCTGCGACATGGGGGGTTGTTGAAACGCTCTGGATGGCCCCCCCAGCATCTCATCTGCCTGACAGCACAGACAGACAATTGTGTGAGCACAGCTGAACAGGCAAAACACAGCAGAGGCAGGAACGGGCAGCCAGCGGATCGGGGAAGGCACCACAACTCCCCAGCTGGGACAGCCCAAACCAGCTCTGCTCAGTGCCCTCCTGGGCAAACTGCCTGTACCATTTTTTAGGGTATGAGAACAGAGAGATAAAAAAAACCATTTTATTATGAGTTCTAACTCTAGGATTCTGTTAGCTTTATTTTCCAGACAAGCAGATTTTCATCACTAATTCCATGGGGTGTTCCAAGAACAGGCCAAAGGTCACCCATCTTGCACAGGGATCTGCTGGCTGGAGTAGGCTCTATCCTACAGCAAAGCCCTGACCATAACCAAAGGTAAGAACATCCACCACACAAGCTAGACCAGCTGGGAAAATCCCTGAAATTTTCAACTGTTTCTGAAGGAAGTTACCTTCCCACAAATTTGCAGCTGCAGAAAGCACAGCTGCCTCTCCAGGTTCTGGTTACCTCCCATCCTCTGGCATTTTAAAATTATCAGTTTTGGGCACAAACCTCATCAACAGCTCCCCAGTCATTAATTCCACCTGTCACAGGAAGAAAATTCCAGGGGTTCCACACTCCTGTGGCCAGTCACTCACAGGGTCCCTTCACAGGGCTGCCCCATGTTCCAGCAGAGCTTGTAGGAAGCATTTTTGAGAAGTTAAAGGAAGGCAACCAGATCCCAGCTCAATAAAGAACATTCTCTCTACCCTACAGTCTCCAAGTGCCTCTTGCTAATACTCAGTCTTGAGCATTAAATGAGTGTTTCCACTTTCAGGAGAAAGAGGCCAAGGCTGGAGGTCCCACATGCAAACACAACCCACAGACTTTTATTTTCTATGGGAGCTGAGCAACCTTCAACATACTGGACTAAGTGTTTAGATCTTGGGAAAGTTTCTAAATTTGGGAACAGGCCACCAGACAGCATTGCCTGTTCACATTCAGAGGTCATGACACAGGAGAAAAGAAAGTTCCAAAGGACAGCCAAGAGTCTCAACACTCCCTAAACACACCTCACCAGAACCGATGAATTCACTCCCCAAATGGCCCTTAGGGCCACACTGGTGATGGAAAGATGCCCTTGGAGGTGATCTGAACCAATAACTAGCAGCAGTCATCATCAGATGGCTCTAAAGACATAGACAAGCCTCGCTCAGCACCCTGTTTACATCCTGTCCTTTGGTCCTTCCTGATTTCTCCCTCCTCCAGCACCCTGTGCCAGTGGTGGGTTATTGTTCACCACGTTACCCATCCATCAACCCAGTCACCATCCACCAACTCACTCTGCCTCCCACGTCTGGCCAGGCCCCACAACACCCAGACCCAGAGCACAGTCCCACCATCCGACACCCGCCCCACACCTCGGGATCCTGGTACAAAGCAAGCAGAAGTCAGAATTCAAAATTTAGGGCAATACATTGTTAGTAAGAAAGGGAAAATCAACAGAACAAGTTTAGGATAGAGTTGTAAATACAGTACTTTATTAATCTGGAAAAAAAAGAATATATTCTTTCGAACAATCAAGGAAATTGAGACTCTCTCTAGCAGAGACCACCTAAGCAGAGTTCATGATAAATCTGAAGTACATAAGGTTGCCAGATATTGGTGACTAATAGGACACGCATTTGTTTTTAATAAGCACAGCCTTTGTTAGGCTGAGGCTCTAATCAGAGCAGTCTGAATTCCCACAAAGGTAAAAGAAAGCTCTTTTTCCTACCGCTGCTTTTCCCTGCCTTTTTGATGAGCCAGCACACATCTGCACAACCTCAAATTTAATTTTTAAAATTAAATTTTTAAAATAAAAACCGATAATAGCTAATCTTCAAGAGCAAAATTAACGTACAGATCACATTTTAATAGGTACAAGCCTTCCGATATTTTTAACAGTTATTTGAAGGTCATGAATTCAATTCCAGACCCATTCAAAACTCATCCTGAAAAGTTCCTGCTTTTTCACCGTCCCAGTTACAAAATTAACTGGGAGCAGAGCCCTGAACCGCTGGCTTTGCTGGGGTCACACCCCCCGAGCAGCCTCATTGCCCTGCCCAGCCCTGCACACACAGTTGGGTTCCTTCCCCCAAAGGTTGGCTCGGGCAATTTGGTAACAAACAGCATTTTGTTGTGATCAACAAAACAAGCAGTTCTGACTGTGGGGACACACACCAAAGAAGGGAGAATTTGGAATTAAGATAAAGAGGCACTAGTTCAGCAGAGCAGCTTTGACTATAACCACACTCACACCCACAGAGTGCCCCCAAACCTCCCACGTGCTGGTCCCAATAAACCAGTAACACTCGTCCAGCCCTGCTGGAATGGCCACTCCTGGAGCTCTCACTGATGGGCAGTGAGAACCAGGGAACACCAGGACCAGCTGCACACAGGAACTGCTGCTGCCAACTCCGTGGCCACTTTCACTCCAAAAAACTGATTTAGAGGCAGCATTTCCCACGAGAGAGCCTAACAATAAATGGGGCTCTTTGCCTTTTAAACATTTCATCAAGCTCATTAATATAATCCATTCTAAATGACAGAAGCTCCTGTACAAGCAGCTCCAGATCTTCCATTATATAAAAGTATAAGAACTGTGACTTTAGAGCACCACTGCAGTCATCTTAAATAAAATTACAACGCCAGGATGCAAACTGCTTAAATGGGTGCAAATGAAAAAGCTAAAATTAGAGTGCAGCCAAATTTCATTTAGAAACAGTGGTAGGGGAAATGGTCAAGCCTTAAATTAATAAACTTTCCCAGACTGAAACCCTCCTACATCACTATTTCTAACCCTGACCACTACATGTGACTGACAGAACTGACTTCAAAATCCATTTGTGTAGCTAAGAGGGAGTTGAACAACAAGCCAACCAAACTCTTGGACATTATTGTGTCCATTGCCCTTGATATTTAATTCCACTATTGAAGGAGGCAGAAGGGAAAGGAAAGGGAGTTGGTCCTGCAGCAGAGACCTCATCCCACTTGGTCCCATTTATATTATTTCTTGGCTAGTCCCAAAAAGTCTCAAAGGAAGGAAATAATGAGTAGATAGGAAAGGGTTTCTTTGTAGGCTTGATTATTTATTTCTTAAAAAACCATCCACACAATGACCCCTCCCAAAAGACAGCACAGAAAAGGACAATTCTCTCCCCCAGTTTTCACTAAGTGCTACAAAGTGTGCCAGCACCAGCCCAGCACAGATCCTGACCAAATGGCTTCAGGTTAAGTCTCGTTCCAGATAATATTAAAACCACATATCAAAGCAGCACCGAGTATTTTTAAAAGACAAATGCAGTTTTCCCTACCTAATTGGCTATTCACAGGAAGAAAAAAAGGAGTAAAATTTTTAGGCTTTCAAGTTCCTGGTTATTAAACCACCTGGGAAACAGACAGTGGAATGACTTCAGAAGGGAATTACTTTAGACCTAGACAGTTTAGCATATTTTTGGAGGTCGGTCTCCTCTTTACAGACGGAGAAAAAAATAAGGGGTTTTTCCCCTCACTGTCTTCAAGACTGTAAAACAAACACAGCAAACAGGCAAAGACATCCATAAAATATTTCCCACAGATTTGCTCTTTCCTTAGGTCCACAAGAAGAGTGGAATCACTGCTGCCCTTGCGAGGGTCCAGGTGTGTCCCGACATCAAACTCCTGCGAAATTGTCACGGCAGAGAGCGGCCCCCGCAGCCCCCTGAGCGCCCACCGACGGCACCACCAGCGCTGCCCTTACCAAGAACGAACTCTTGGGGGTGAAAATCAGGTTTCAGCCACTCTGCCATAGGAGAGACCTGGTGCAAAACCGGCCGGGAAACCGAAAGGTGAAGCGTTACACCCACCTGCGCTGCTCCTCGGGCCACACAGGCTGAGCTGGGGGATGCTCCGGGAAAAGGGTCAGCCCGAGGATCCGGACGGGCAGGAGCCCGGGCTGAGGAACCACCCACGGGACAGAAACCCCACGGGGGGATCCCCCGGAGCCAGCGCAGGAGGGCCAGCACGGAACCCTCACCCAGCCCTGGAGAGCCCGACACAGGAGCGGTAAAACCCCCACGGGCACAGCCAGACGAACGTCCTACGCTCCCGGGCTCGCGGGGCCGGCGCCCAGCGGGGCCCTGCCAAGGAGCCGCCACCGAAGCTGAAGTTTTTTCCAGCTGCGGCTCGACACCGGGCGATCTCCGGCCACCCCCGGCCCCGGCGGGCACCGCCCCGGCCCCGTCTCCCCCGGGAATCCCCGCGGCCCGGCCCAGGGCGGGGCGGGCAGGCCCGCGCCGCTCCCCGCCGCCAGGCCCGGCCGGGGGCCCGCAAGGCCGCCCCGCACATAGAGGCCGCGGCGGCCGCCCCGGAACCTTCACGGCTCGCGGTGCCGGGCGAGCCCCGCGCGGTGCCGGTGCCGCGGGCGCGGCCCCTCGGCGGTACCTTTGAACAGATAGTCGTACTCGTCGTCGCGGGTGCCCATGGCGATGGCGGCGCCGACCCTCTGCCTGCCCGGACCGACCGCGGCCCTGCCGGGGGGGGGCGCTGCCGCGCGGGCCAATCAGCGCCCGCCAGAGCCCGCAGGAGGCGGGCGCTGCGCCAGACCCATCAACGGCGGCCAATGGGCGGCGGGCGCGCCGCTGACTGGCGGGAGGCGCCGCCCAATCGAAGGAAGGCAGCTGGGGAGGGGGCGGGGCTTGAGTGACTGAGCCGGGAACCTGCGAGACGGGGCGGGGTCTGGAGCGGGTGGGGGCGGGGCTTGGCGGAGGGCAGGGGCGGGGCCGGGGGCGGGGCCGGGGCGGGGTTTGGTTGTGTCCGAGGGAGGGGGGTCACGGCGGGGTGGGGGGTCCTCGGGGGGTGTCACTCCCTTTGAGGGGGATGCAAAGGAATGGGGGTCACCCCGTGTGAAGGGGAACCTCTGGGCAGTGGGGGGTTCGCCCCGTTTGATTTAGAATGATCCCCCGATCGCTGGGGGGGTGGTGTTATCTCGTGGGGGGGGGGCCCTGCCCGGGGGTCAGCACAGCACAACAGGAGGGGGGGCTCGGGGCTTCCCCCTGGGGCCGCTCCCTGCCCCACCCCGCGCTCCCGGCCTCACCTTCCTGCCAAACACCGGCCGAAAAGGCTGTTCTGGCAAAAACATCCCCGCGCGGTGACACAATTGCTCAAGGGGAACATCTCTCCTTTTTTTCCCTGGCACGACTTGAGGCGATTTCCAGAGCGGAGCTGTGGCCACAGCCCTTCTCCTTCCCGACAGCAGCAACTCCTCCCTGGAGCGCAGTCCAGGGTGCAGGACCAGCCTCACGGAGCCGCTCGGGGAGCCCCCGGGTGTCCCCGCTGCCCCGGGGACCCCCTCCCGGTGACCTGTGCACACCGACCCCGTCCCTGCCCTGACGCCTGTGATTTGGGGTTGGACAAACCCTGATGGGGGGAAGCCGCCGCCTCCCTCCTTCCCTCTGGGATGTGCTGGGAAGCCGCTCTGCTCGGTGTTTCTCACTTTCCGGGCTGTGCTCGTCGCGGCACGTCTGCCCTACTTTCCTCCCCCGAGGAGTGTTTATCCGACTAAAGGATTAGTGGGTCTCCAATATCGCAGAGGAGCAGCAGCAAGGCTGAGACACGGGGGACGAAAAAGTTGGCTTTGCACCTTGGGAGATGCTCAGAGTGGGAGTGATGTCAGGGTGGGGAGAGGTTCAGATCCTCCAGGCTGCCCTCAGCTTCCCCCAGACACCCGAACACCCTGGACAGACGGGATCATGGTGTCCAAGGGGTCCCATTTCCCAAAACTGAGTGTTAATAATTGAGTAGGGGCAGCGAAGAGGCAGCAGCCAGACTGACAGTGCCTCAGCTCGGCAGGGTGTCCAGCTCAGTGACAGCCAGGCTGTTCATGGCTCAGTCTGAGAACCAGCACGCTGCAAACACACTGCAAGCCCACTGCCAGGGGTCAGGTGCCCGTGTGGCATATGAGGCAACGGAAGCAGCAGGGAAGGGAAGCCAAAAATTCATAGAACCAGTGGCCTGGGGAAGATTCCAGCTCCAGCCTAACAGTGGGTTGGGCCAGTTGTTCTGCTGTGACAGACAGTGATTGCTGGAGGAGTGGGGAGGAAATCTTTCCTTTGTGGTTTTGGTGCTCACATGCAGCACAGAGCATTGCACTTTTAAGCCTTCCCATGCCAAAGGGAGTTTTAACACCAGGATCTGCAGGAAGGTGTGTTGCTTTCTCCCGTTGATGCTGTTCCTGTTCCCACAGGACCCCAGGGATTGGCCCTGGTGGGTAATGACTAGAGCACACCCAGGGGGTGTTGAGCATCTAACCAAGGAGTTAAATGGCATCAGGAGGAGCAAAGCTGGAACATGTTGGATGCAGAACCTCCAGGGAAGGACTATTATCCCATGCTGAGTTTCCCACACCTGATAATGCCACATCCAGTGAGTGGCTGTGTGACAGGAGGGAGAGGAGGGTGGCTCCTTGCTGATCTGCAAAGGAGGCCTTTGCTCCCCAGTGGAAGTAAAACATCTTATTTTCATTATCACAAGTAACTTAATTGGTTCTGAACTGAACACTGAGGGAGGACTAAAAATATCACCAAAGCTATTTTTTATCAGTTTGGATGGAAATCACTTTCTTACTTTCTTCTTCTGATGCCTGGGAGCTGTTGTCATCAGTTTTAAAGAGGAGATATCCTCGTGATGGAGGTACCCTCGTGAGTGCCGTCCAGCTTCAAAATCCCCTGGGGTAGAGTTTTAACATGAGCTGCAGGGAGTGGAGATGTGAGAGGAGGGATGCTGCCCCGGGTGATGTGGAGGGAATCAGGAGTCAACAGTCCCCACATTCTTCACGTTCAGGAGTCCCCCGGGTTCATGGTATGTTTTGAATTGGAGGATCAGTGCTGTGTCACCAAAACAAGCCATGTGTCAGTGAAGGAGCAACAAGTTTGCAGACCCTTTCTGGAGATTCCACGTATGTCCTGAGATTGGCCACAGGCCATCAAGCCTCCAAGCCAGTGGCCTGGGGTCCCACCTGGGTCAGCAAACTGTAAAGGAAACTCCTGTCTGACAGTTCAGATCTGGCTGGGGGGCCCCACTGGCACCAGCCCAGACTGTCACTGCTGGGACCGAAGCCCCTTCACAGCAGCAGCTCCAGTGACCCCACAGGGGCCCCACGTGACCCCCACACACCCCACACTCCTCCAGTCAGACCAGTCCCCCTCACCAGCTCAGCCCCCAGGTTCCCAGAGCACAGCCCCAGACTCTGGTTCCTTTGTGGTGCAGGGACACAGAATAGCTCAAGCTGGTGCCCCTGGGGAGGGACCCCAGACAAAGGCACCCCCTATCCTCTGCCCCCTCCCAGTCTGTGCCCATCCTGATGCTGATATTTATTCCAGGGTCTCTCGCTGTTTCCAGGCTTCTGCAGAGTCCCAGAGTGACTAGGCACCTCCTGTGCCCTGAGCCCTTAGTGATACAAAGGGTCAGTGCCAGGTCCCAGCCCCTTGCTGGGAGTTCCAGCCATTCACCCCCCCAGTACAACCTGCACCTTGTGCTGCAGCTCCCCCCAGGCTGGGCACTGGGGGGTTCCAAACAGCACCCCCACCTTTGCTTTAATGAAGCTCATCTGCTCATACACTGAAAGGAAGAAGAAAAAACTTTCAGGCCATTTAAGCACTGCCCTTACACACAACATTATCACAAGTTAAAAAACATAACAGAATTAGGGCCAAAAAGACTTTCAGAGGATAGAGTACAATATAGATTCATGTGCACAATTAAATGGTTACCAACACAAAATCACAAAGGATTCTCAGAGGTTAGTTATTTATCAACCAGTTGATCACAGAAGCTGGGTCACGGAATCACTAAGGTTGGAAAAGACCTCTGAGACCACTGAGTCCAACCTGTGATTGAACATCACTGTGTCAACCAGACCATGGCATGAAGTGCAACGTCCAGTCTTTCCTTAAACACCTCCAGGGATGATGACTCCACCACCTCTCTGGGCAGCCCATTGCAATATCTAATCACCCTTTCTGTGAGGAAATTCCTCCTAATGTCTAGCCTAAACCTCTGCTGGTGCAGCTTGAGACTGTCCTCTCATCCTGTCTCTGGCCACCTGGGAGAAGAGCCTGACCCCCACCTGGCTCCCCCCTCCTGTCAGGGGGTTGTAGAGAGTGAGAAGGTCACCCCTGAACCTCCTTTGCTCCAGCCTAAACAACTCCAGCTCCCTCAGCTGCTCCTCATAGGACTTGTGCTCCAGACCCTTCACCGGCTTCATCACTTTTCTCTGGACACATTCCAGAACCTCAACATCCTTCCTGAACTGAGGGCCCAGAGTTGGACACAGCACTCGAGGTGTGGCCTCACCAGTGCTGAGTACGGGGACAGAATCACTTCCCTGGTCCTGCTGCCACACTCTTCCTGATCCAGGCCAGGTGCCAGTGGCCTTATCGCCCACCTGGGCACACTCTGGCTCATGTTCAGCCACTGCCAACCAGCACCCCCCTGTCCCTCTCTGCTGGGCAGCTCTCCAGCCACTCTGTCCCCAGCCTGTGCTGCTGCAGGGGGTTATTGTGACCAAACTGTAGGATTAGCACTTGGTCTTGTTGACTCCCACATCGTAGGTCTCAGCCCATCAATCCATCCTGTCCAGATCCCTCTGCTGGGCCTTCCTACCCTCCAACACTCCCACCCAGCTTCGTGTTGTCCACAAATTTAACAAGGGTGGACTCAATGCCCTCATCCAGATCATCAATAAAGACATTGAACAGGACTGATCCCTGGGGGACACCACCAGTGAAAGTGATGGAACAGATCATCCATTGCTCATTTGATGTGAGAAGTTTTATCCCATTTTCCTTACCTAAAACTTTACCAGCAAAACAGGAACACAGTAAAACAGCACGTGACCCTTCCCATCTAGGTTCTAATTTGGCTTTTCTACAGAATATCTTGTTTAAAACTCCATCTTCAGGCTGTGTATCTTGTACCTGTATTTCAGGGGGAATTGGTTGATACCACTGAGCATAATTTGCTCTTTGAACTCCTTCTGCATGTATATAACACATTGGGTCAAGATCTATCCAATAATCTGGTTGTAGCTGGGATATAAGGTCCTGGTACAGCCAAGTGCCTTCCAAAGAGAATTTCTGCTGGTGTCAGCCCTACGTGTTGTCACAGAGTAGTCTGGACATCCCACAGAGCCAAATTTAAGGCTTCTGGCCATTTCAGATTAGTGTGTGTGCATATTTTCACTGTCTTTTCTTTCAACATTCTATTAATTCTCTCTACCTATCCTGAAGACTGTGGGTGATGTGGTTTATGTGATTTCCTCTCTATCCCCAAAGACTTGTACAGCTGATGGATTATACTTGCTGTAAAATGAGCACCTCTCTCTGTTTCAATCAGCTCTGGAACCCCACATCAGGTATAACTTCCTTTAGCCAGGTCTTTACTGCTCCTCCTGTGTCTGCCCTTCCTGTTGGAAAGGCTTTTGCCCACCCTGGATGATGAGAGGAGATGATCTCCTCTCACCAGCAAATCCTTGTCCCCAGCCAGAGGTGACATGTCTGCAGT